ACGGCAGAAGACCCCCCACATAGACCCCCATGAAGCGGAGCTTCAACGCATCAGGGAGCAGAATGCTCTCTTCATCAAGCAGCGCATGCAGCAGCTGCAAAAGGAAAGACAAAATATATTCAGAGACCACTCGGCCCAGCTGCTGCAGCAGCAGCAGCAGCAACAGCAGCAGCAGCAGCAGCAGCAGCAGCAGCAACAGCCCAGTGGCACACGTGCGCATGCAACGCATGCAGTCAACGGTACAGAGACAGAGACGGAGGAGACCCTCGATGATATTCTTCTCAGGTCTGTTGTGCTGCAGTGGAATGTCCCTGCAGCAGCAGCAAACGCATGCAAGCAGCAGCACGCGACATCTGCGCCAGCAGCAGAAGCAGAAACAACAGGAGAAAGAGCAGCAGCAGTAGGAGCATCAGGAAGTCCAGCAGCAGCAGCAGCAACAGCAACAGAAGATGAAACAGCTGCAGCAACAGCAGGAACAGCGGATGGAGCAGCAGGACCAGACGCAACTGCAACAGCAGCAACAGCAGCAGCAGCAGCAGCAGGAGCAGCAGCAGCAGATGCTCCAACTCCTGCTTCTCTGTGTGCCCAGCTGTGGATGCACGGTGCTGTTGACCTGTGTTTCTTTTCTGCGGGTAGAGGCCAAGCCTGCGTCTCCTTCTCTTCACGAGAGAGAGCAATCGAAGCAGCGTTGCTGCTGCAGCGGGAGAGACAAAAACAGAAACATAAAAGCAGCAGCAAAAGACATGCAGACACCATCACTGTTAAACTGGCAAATAAAATCAACGGATTCAGAGAACTTCTCCTCAAAATACGGAGTGTTGCTGCTGCTTCAGACCAGCAGCAGCAGCAGCAGCAACAGCAGCAGCAGCAGCAGCAACAGCAGCAGCAGGGAGATACAGATGATATGCAAGAAATCGCAATGCTTGCAGCTGAGACAGAAGAGGCAGCTGGGGCATTTGCTTCTGCTTTAGCTGCTGCTCAGGCCGATGCTGCTGCTCAGACGGATGCTGCTGCTGCTGCTGCTCCTGCTGCTGCTGCTGCTGCTGCTCCTGCTGCTGCACCGCGCGACCCACCACTTGCCAGCGCTTCCCCGGCGGAGCAGCAGACATGCAATGGAAGTAGCGGCAGTACCCCCAACAGCAGCAGCTACAGCAGCAGCAACAGCAGCAGCTACAGCAGCAGCTACAGCAGCAGCTACAGCAGCAGCAGAGGGTCGCTGAGCATTGCAGAGGCTGCCAGCGCTGCTGCTGCTTTCGGTTTGGGTGGAGCAGCAGCATCGAAGAGGCCCATAAGCGGTGCTGCTGCTAGCATATTAGAGTATGTGAAGAGCTGCAGCAGCAGGGGGCTGCAGGAGGCGCAGCAGCAGCAAGCAGCAGCAGAAGATGAAAAAGACTGGGAGTGGCTAGGTGGGTCCAAGGTAGCAGCCAGCATGACGCTGCAGCAACTCGAGGCAGCAGCCTTTGGAGAGCTTAACCGCAAGAAGCAGCAGCAGCAACAGTAGCAGCAGCAGCAGC